AGTTGAGTGTTCTTAAATAAATAATGACGTGACGCCTCTAATTTGCCCAAGGGGTCACACACGTCCACAGTACCCATAAGGTAGGAGAAATAAAAAATCGCATTGTTGGTTATGTAATGTCTCTTGTGGCGACGCGTGCGCAACCTCAACAACAACAGTCCGTCAGTCAACTGTCTACTGCTGGACTACTACCTCATCTACATAAGACGTTTCATGGGATCTTCACGATTGGCACTCGGTTTAGAGATCAGATCAGATGCAGTCCAAAATAATTAATCTGAGTGCGCCGCTGCCCAGCCTCTGTCAAATTTCTACTTGTCTAGTCCCTTTAGAATAATGACAGCTGCAGTAATAACTAGAAGAAGAGACAAATCATATGATTTCTGCTTTGTCGTTACCACACTGTACGGCAAAGGACACAAGTCATAAAGAACAAAAAGATCTGTTATTCACGGATCCCCACAGATCGGCGATGGTACAAAACCAATTAGTGCTTGCAACTGATGCCTAATGAGGGCACAATCGCCTCTCCTTTATATAGGGGTCGTAAAGACCCTGTATTTACAGGTTTACAATCCTGATTAGTCTTTGTAGTCTGCCGACGATTTTTATTCTCTTATGAGCTGTTCAGATTAATATGTTGACGTCAGTTGTAAGAAGAGAAAAATGTTTTTTTGGCTACGTTGTCCGGTTTGGATTAATTTGTCTTGTTGATGAGCTTCTTCCACTCGGTTTGATCCATTGCTCCATAGTTCGATCAACCTTATATCAGTATTTGGCCTTTGATTTAGTTTAGGCTCATTTGCTTCAGTATTTTTTTACAATTAGCTGACCAAATAATAATAATAATGTCCATTACATTTATATTAAAGTTGTCTAAAGGGCCTATACGCAGTTGGCTTCGGCCCCTCGTACGCCTCCCAAATGACCGGGACCCTGTGGTCCCGTGAATGGTAAAGACATACATAATATTTAAAATTTTGCGACCCATATACTTTCTACTACTGCTCTAGTGCTTTTTCAAAGAACAGTCGCCAGCTTTTTGCCATACTAGACAGGTTTCACGATATCTATTCAAATGTAGACAAGATTGACATTTGCTACCGAAACGGTGTATGATGAAATACAATCATCATAGATTTTATCAATGGTATCGCCTTGCGGCTATTCAAATTCTAGGCCATCTGAATTATCACCTGTCTTAAGTCTTTCTTTCAATCCTCCAGCGGAAACATCAACCATTTTACCTTTCATTAGCACCTTGAATGACTTATTACGAATGACATGAAGACAAATTCAAAAATCAATAACTCCATCTATAATTCTTATTACCACCTCATTACTCAAACCTTCGCAGTCGGTTAAATTTTAACACAAGCTTGTGTTCTCGCCGGCAACAAACAGTAGATCATGCGTGCGTGTGCGTATCTATTTAGTACCTCTCAACGAGCGCCGATTTCACTTAGGTACCTTCTGACAGAATGTTTTTTTTTTGAGACAAAGGACTGATTCTTTTAAGGTTGCTTTGGCGTTTATCTTTTGGAGATTTATTTTACTCAAAATTGTCGATAGATATTTGATATAATGGTCAGCGATAGTTCTCTTTAAGTCTGAATCGTTGTATGAAATCTAGAATTGAAATTCGTGTCGACAAGGATTCACCATGCTTCAAAAATTTGTGACAACTAGCACGGAGTCATGTATTATCACGTGTTTCACACAATTCACCTTCATCTATTGAATGGAGATGAAAGGCTGTAGTTGTAGTTATCCCTTTTAAAACTAAATCTGACAAAGACGAAAATCCTCAAATATCAACCACAACAATAAATTGAAAACCAACGGAACCATTGCTTAAAGAATGTAACATTCAACATGTAAGCGCATTTTTCGAACTTCCAAGCGAAATCTCAAAGGTTCGACGACTGGTCGTTAATTGTCAAGACAAATTCCCTTGTTGTTTGCAGCGGCGATGTCTTACGGCTCGTAAGTAGTTTACAGTAGCTTATTTGTACACTACTGTGGCTTAGTTTGGTCTGTGGTTTGTTGAAAAAAGATGACTATGTTGTCTCGTAACAAAATACCTAGTAGAAGGGACATTGGCATGTTTTAAAAATCTTCCGTGCAAATGGTTGACCAAAATTTTTTGGACTCTGTAGGCGTACTCCTGAAAACGATTCGATTGTGATTTTGTTTTTGTTTTTGATTCGAATTAATTTTTGATTCTTAGTCGATTATCCTTATCGTCATCTTTTTCTTATTCTATTAATTAGGTAACCTTTAATTATCGCAATAAAATTGTGGAATTTAGACACGTTTACAATACGTATCTATCGATCGCTACTGACTGGATTGACGATCTGGAGGATAATTCTTTTGTTGATTTGTAGTTAGTAATATTAATTTTAAACAAGAAAATGTTAACCGTTGCAGGTAGGTATTATAACACAATTAAAAAGTATGCCAATAATAAGAAACCCCGTCACTTGCTAATGAACAATAATGACAACATCGGTGTCAAAATCACACCTTTAATAAATCCTCATTTTGCTTTTCAATTTGTACTGGCTGGATTTTTGTATCAATGACTGGCCGGCAAGAATTTTTTTTTAATATTCAAATTTAGAACTTTGACATGTTAGGTTTTTATTGATTTGGTCGAAGCTTGGTAATTATTTTTAATCTGTTTTAACAAACGATAGGTATTTTATACTAATTACAAGAGTTGTGAGTTAAGAAGAATTTCTTATAGAAAGTTATGGAGGTGAAGCAGAGAAGAATTATTAAATTGTCTACTATTTAAATAGGTATGTAGACAGTTATTCACCAAATCAAATAGCTAAGTATTGTTTACGCAAATCTCTAATCAAATGATTGTACCTTACTTGATATTGTTTATTTTTCTTAACATTCAATAACTATAGTGATATTTTAATTTGCCAATACAAGAATATTTAATTTACACACCTCTAACTAGAATTAAATATCAGATCTAATTAAAATCTTATACAAATCCTAAACACTACCATTATATTCTAAAAAAACAATTCAGTAGTAACGTTAATTGCTGTTAAAACCTTATAATGCCGCCTAATGCTAATAGGGTGTCCGGAGTTAAGAATAACAGAGCCTAATACCGGCCAGTAGCGGTGACAAATATTGACACATTCCACATCACAAATACACCCTTTTTGACCCAAATACCAGCCTTCCAGGAACCGCAAAGACGGTTCAGTTTTTTAAAGATGAATGATAGTTTTTTGAAAATGAATATTTTATGAGTAATCCGGGATTTAGATGGGGATTAGTGGAGTCATTCTTGCTTGTATGGTGGATATTAACATATTTAATTTGGTACAATTATAATATTGGGCAATGTTGTACCTATTTGTTAATGTTCTAATGGTATATTGAAAGACGAAAATAGAATTTAAAATAGTATAAATAATAATTATGGTTCTTATTTCTATACCACCATAATTAACATTGCTTTGATAGTTAATTCTTTAAATTTGTGACCAAATTATCTGATAATTAAGTGATACAAAAATCCAATGAAAGTAAGTGATCCAGAAGCGTTCATATACTTAACACTTTCTTAGTTTCATAGTTAATACAATTCTTATATAAACTACGTATAAAAAACATACTTTAACCCCCTTTTATTGAAGTCGGTTCATTAATATAGGTACTAAAAAAATCTTCTCCAAAGTGCAACAAACACTTTTCTGAAAACCGAATCAAAATTGCTTCAGCTAATCGCGAGATAATGCGCACAAACATCCATACATACATATACAGTTCAAATAGAGAATCTCTTTTTTGAAATCGGTTAAAAAAATCTTCGAAATGAGTGAAGACACTTGAAAAACATTCAAAACGATAATCCCCAAATATTCTTACATCACCGAACCTCTCAAAAATAACAACATAAGCTTTTCATTACTTCAATTGCACATTTTACTTCTTAACGTCTTCCTTGAGGAGCCATATTGAGGGCTGAGGGGGAGGGCCAATCAGAAGGCCTCTTTAAAACCATCCCTGCGTCATAAGCTATTATAACACCCTCAGTATTAATATTTTCCACATTTTTGGGCACGATAATTGTCAGCCATATTAAAAGTTACAAACTGCACGTGGCTGGGGGATACAACTCCTGCTAACATGGATACGGTTATTAATATTTTAGAAGCGTCACTTTTTAATATGTTTTTTGGATATTAGATGCGTGATGATGCATGTTGTAGGTAAATAGGGTAATGGAACTGGTCGTTGCTACTGTTAGTTTGGAATAGATATACTTGAGTTATGGTTGAAACCCCTATTTGTTGAAAAATATACTTATACCAAATTGTTTTATGTCTCTAGTAGCTTTTACCATCAGTTTTGCCTGCGTCCTGTTTTATCCCATGGGAGCATTTAATCGGGATAAAAAGTCCTATTATCTAATTCAGCCTATAGCCTGCCTGTATGTCGCGGAGAACCTAACGGGTAACCGGGGCTCCGGCTCGACTTGCAGGAGAAGGAACGGGGTGGTTTTTAGTCAGTAAGAGTCTGACACTCCCTCGCGCCTCACCCAGGCGAGAGCAGTAATTCGATGATTTTCCCCCTTTAAAAAAACCCTCCCTGTATACCAAATTTCATCAAAATCCGTCCTACAGTTTCAGCGTGATTGACGGACAAACATCCAAACAAAGAAACTTTCACATTTATAATAAATGTATTTAAGTGTGATTTGGTATTTCCTAGTTTATATAATTGTAATCAAATAAACTCATTATTTTGTTTTATAATCGTTCCGAAAAATATTTTTGATGTTCATTTTAGGTAACTCGGTACTTACATATCCAGATCTAATTACAGAATCCTAGTATTTTTTAAATATACTTATTATACTACTTCAATTACTTACGGCTTTGTATCGAACATTCATACTTCGAAAACAACGAAGCACCTGGTACACGACATTCTTCAAACTAATCAATACCAATTCTATTTCCAGTGCCGCTGGTGCGATGTGCGACCGAACAGGCTTCGGGTCATCCATGGGGCATTTCCCTATGGGCCCCATGTCCGCCATGGGAGCCATAGGGACTATGAGCTCGATCTCCGCGATGAACGGACCTCAGCAGAAGAAAGTCCAGGAGGAACATATAAAAAGACCTATGAACGCCTTCATGGTGTGGTCGAGGCTACAGAGGCGGAAGATTGCTCAGGATAACCCGAAGATGCATAATTCGGAGATTTCTAAGAGATTAGGTAAGTGTTTTTTAAATAGTTATTGCATGTCTTTTTGTGGTCAAGCGTCCACGGTTATATGTAGGATGTAGAAGAAGTCCGTGGACAGTGGACTGTCTTGGGATATGGATGATAATTATTGATAAGTGAATACTGGACAATGGATGAATGATTGTTTCAACAGAGATACAATCAAGTCATATACGAGTGCCTCACCTAACCTTAGTTATATCACAAGTAAGCTTAAGCAATACATGAATGTTGACATTGAATATTACACCCACAAGTAAAGTAATTACTGAAGAAAAATACAATGTAGGTGAAAATGTATCAAATTAATGTATTTAGAAATAGACCATAATGGGTCTATTTATGTGCTGATGGAGAAAAGTATCGAATACCCACGCAACATGAGAACGGTGCCATTTAATAAGGTTATAATATCAGGTTCAAAATAAAATTCTATACACTATAAATGACTGCCTCGTCGTATAGAAAATACAAGTAGAGGCAGTTTCAGAGTATTTTAGCAAGCAGTTAACTTTTAATGACTGCCTCGTTGGCCGAGTGGTCGCAGGTGTGCCTGCCGGGCAAGGGGTATCGGGTTTAATTCCCGGGTCGGGCAAAGTACTACTGAGTTTTTAAAATTATCAGTAGTAGCACGGAGTCTGGAATTGTGTCCGGTATATGGCAATAGGCTCACCCCCTATTGCATGGGACTCATGACATAAATAGTGAAAAGTGGGTGTTACATTGTAAAGTGGCATTAAGTGCCGTAATGTACACCTCTGCCTACCCCTTCAGAGATAAAAGGCGTGAAGTTATGTTATGTTATAAATAACACACACAGGTAAACGTACACCTACTCACACATTCGTACCATGGCGATACACTTGGCTTACTATACTACAGAAATACATATTTTTTTGATGACTGGGGTAAATCTTCTTCAAAAGGCGCCTAGCTTTTTGGGGATAAAAGACTAGATAGTGTTGGATGGGATTTTTACCTCAGTAAACACCTCGGTGGTCACCTCAACACCTGTATGGAGGCACCGGGTCCTCTAAAAGAGACCTGATCCGAAGCCCCACTATGTGTCTTTTACAACACATCCCTAAGGAGACGGGTGTCTCCTTTAAGCTTCGCTGTGTACGGCGGCACGTGACCACTGTGCCACCATCTTCCCTGAGACCACTGGGTGGGTACCTAGAGTCCCCACTCTATGCGCCCGTGGTCCCAGATAGATATATCTATGTTTGTTTCGCTTAAATGCCAAACCTATATGAATTTTGATGACATTTTCTAATCTTGTACCTTTGCTGTAACCTTTTAGCAAAAATATGATTTTGTTAATAATTTACATAATACTAAAACATAACATTGCCAAGCAGTATATTGATCATAACTACAAACAAAGCACATTGATATAAAAAGTAAATAGTTCTGTATGTACTGATCCTATTTGTAGGCTAACTGTAATAGGCATACATAGAACAGTTACTTAATAATAAACCTTATGTAGTGCAGATTAGGTTTGATATGAAATGGATTTAATACCTAAGATTGATGTTGATTCTAAAAAAGTAATTTGAAGTAAAATACATAGAAAACAAAGAACGTTGATGGTCGGTTGCTTGGAACACTATTTGAAATTTTTGAATTTCGAATATCTTGAAGAAGTGACAAAACGAACGACGTCAGAAAACTGTTAGATTGACATCTCTAAATACAAACGTATAAAGTCCCCGACATCATTTCATTCTCAACCACACATATTATATTAGGTTTGCTAATAGAATTTTATTCAACCATCATCCTCAAAGAACATTTTAATTAAAGCCACACCGAATCAATCCAAACAGAACTGTATCAACGTTACATTAAATACAATTTACCGTTTCTAAATTAACGTTGTAAGTAACAAAACACCTTTGTGTTATAACTATAGTAATATACGATTACGTCATTGCTCCAAGACACCATTGTTTAGCACAATCCATTGAATTTGGCACAAGTAAATTACTATTATGGTAAGCGATGGATCCCACTCCATAGTTTGTAAAGAGCTCATTCTGATTGCAAATTGATCATTCTGGATTCTCGTCAGGATCATGATTTATTGAATCAGTTTAATATTAATTTATGAAGTGAGAAGTGGTTTCGTAGGTGGATTGTTTGACAGTACGGCACGATTGTTGTCGTTCTGTACCTCGAGACGTTAAGATGACAAGCGTTAGACGCTATTGTTTCAACATCGCAATTTGATTATAAAGGACAACCAAGAACTTCAAAGGTGTCCCACAAAATTATGGTAGAAGTCTTTTTCAACGCGGTATAATGAACGAATGAACGTTAATAAAAACAACTTGAAAACAAGTTAAGCATGCATCCACTTCGGTACAGTCCATCGCCCTTTTACAGAAGCGAGCCCAAAACTCTGAAGCACAGATTAAAAATAAACCACAACTTAAAGACGAAAGAAAAAAATCGCCGCAATCAGCCAACAGAAGCTTACACAGCGGGGTATTCTCGAAAATAATCAACAGCTCAAATGTAAGCACAGTTTCGTATTCGAAATTTAAAAACGGCCAGAAATAGGGATGGGAGGACACGAGCGGAAGAGTATGGAAATACGAGCAAAACCGGCCACGGCCATTCTGGCGGTGACGGCGAGAGGAAACGACATTTTCTATTTTTTCCCCCTCGGCTTTTTTCAACTCGGCCCGTGCGATGCGGTGTGTACTCGGTTTTAGACACCTATTTGTTAATATTGAAGATGTTTTTGTTCACTGTACAGTTTGATATTTTTTGAATTTTGTACCTATATTTTTAATTATTTGTCTTGATGGGTTCCAATAGTTATTAGAATTTTTTGGCAAACATGATGAACTACGAGAAAGAAGTGTACCTAATAACTCATATAGAAAGTCAAAATTGTCCATGCGATTTTCTTCATACGACTTTGTGGGTCATGAACTTCATGGTCTTAAAGATCTCATTTGAAAAGATAACAATTACATTTTTTAAATAAAAGAACGTTATTATTAAAAATTTTATTCGTAACAAACATTCTCGAAAAATTCTCGAAACACCTAACGCCATCTATTGACAGCCGAAAACAACGTCCGATATTAGTTTTTCCTTTTGCATGTGAAGCGAGGGCGACAAGGCTTTACGTAAAACTCGTATTGTCCTGTTGAAATACAGGGCATGCATTATTCATGGTTGCACGTTTTCGTCTTGCATTTTGTGTCGTTTGTTTGAATATTTATTTTTATCGAGGGAGGGGATTAAAAAGCTTGTATTCGGTTTACAATGTATTAAAAGGGAAATTATTGTATGGTTTGTAATTTTCTATTAGTCCTTTGTAATAATGGAACTTAATGGAGTGAGAAATGATTATGATTAACTAAATTCTATTTGTTTACTGTATTTTTTTTTTCTAATATTTATATCGAAATTGAAAAGCGCCCCAGCACAGTAAATAAAACAAACCTCCCAAACCAATTATGTCAAAATTATAGCCCAGGAGACTGCATTGACAGGGAATCAATCATTCTAATCAAAATCTCCTATTCATTTAGTAAAAAACACACAAAACACTAGATATCGTATTCCCCAAACATGTGTAGGCGCATCTGTACATTCTGTACAACCTGTCGACGTGTATTGTTCGATTGTACAAATAAGTGCACGTTTTGTACGTCAAATCAATCGTGATGCCGATCCGCACAAAGGTTTAGTGCACAATGGCTCGAAAGTTTTAGCGTGATTCACTGCACTAATGGACAACGAATTGGCTCGCGAACTTGTTGATGATTTATGGTGACTAATGTTTCTATGCTCTTCTTTCATTTGTAAGTTTTGTAGTCGTTGGTCAAAGTCATCATAGTATCGATAAAATCGTTTTTTATCACATTTGTGTGCTTAGTTTTGTTTATTGTAAAACACCGAAAAACTTCTTCGAGTTCTTTCAACGGCTGTAACACAGTCTAGCATAACTCAATATGATTAAATAAATTAATTAATCGTTGTTTTCAAATGTTCAAGTTTAATCTGAATTACTTCCTAAAGTCATTGATTTATTATACAAAAAACTATTGGTTAAAAAATAGCAGGCGTAATAGTGTATTTTAAAAACTGAACAACGTTTTACCAGTCTTCAATTCCAACAAATCCATCAAACGGCTATTTGTTCTACACATCCGTGTGTCATATGTTTGTTTTCATCAGTGTCTGATGCATACCCTTAATAGTTAACACGTTGGGGCGTTGCAACCCAGTTAATATTAATTAAGGTAGGGAGTGGGCCTTTGTGTGATGTGTAATGGGGGTCCAACTATCGCTGGGTGTCGTGTACAACTTGATGACTATGTAATGCATATTAATTGTAAGTTCTAAGTCATTTGTATTGGTTCCTTTGGTATATTGAATTTCTTGTTGCTATGAGTTGTTGTTCTGTTATAGACTAGCGGCTTTAGTTCATTCACAGCTTACCTGAATGCCTATCTGGGTAAACTAATGAAAGTAATGGTGCAAATTTTTAGGACTCGATTAAATTGAATGTGCCTTTTCAGGCGTGTACCCTATTTCTGACACTTTGCTAAGTGACGCTGAGTAACTCAATGAGGCTTTTTTTAGTCTGTACCTGGTGAACTGGTGAATACCGACACCATATGGTCGACAGTCGAACCGCTCGGCCAATAAAGCAGTTCACTTAAATAAAACTGATATAAGCGCCCTTTTCCACATCACTAAAGAAAGCACAATCACCACAACAGATGCCCCATTATATTACATAACAACAATACATAACTAATACCTAATTTACGACGATTTTCCTCGCTCCAACTACCGTAGGCGTATCGGACTTTTTTCCACACTTTTTTGTTTTCCAACATTTTTTGTTAGATGCAAGTAATTACTGAGGTACAAAACGCTATTGGATATTTTTGAGACCACAACAGAGGCACGGCCAATCGTAGGACCGTGACGAATCTCTCCAAAGAATTCGGTTCTCA